CGCAGCTTCGATGTGCAGGCGGCTCCTATGACGGTGGTCTCTGAGGTGCCATTTTTTGGATAGGACACCTGACGGCGGCAACTCTGAGGTTTACACTACTGCCACTACGACAGTTGCTACTAAGAGTGAGTTGTTAGCATGGTGTATGCATGCACATCCGAATACAAACAATATAGAATCTGCACACATGTCAGCGCGCATGCATGAGTGAGTGTACTTGTATATGCATATATTCGTGCATATGGGTATTCCTGTGTCTATGTGTATGTTTCTGCACATCAATGTACATGTGTGTGTTTTTGCATTTGCATACGCTATGTGTCTGTGTCTGTAGAGGTGTACACGTATGTACGTGTATGCATATGTGTATGCATATGCGTCTGTGTCTGCGTTCGCGTGCACCTGTATGTGCATGTGCAGTCCGATGCAGCCAGCATGAGCATGTTTATGTGCATGTGTATGTATGTATGTATGCATGCATGCATGTATGTATGTATGTATGTATGTATGTATGTGTATACATATATATATATATGGGTATATATATATATATATGTATATAGAAATATATGTATCTACGAGTCTGTATATGTACATATACTCATATGTTATTCATACATTTGTATGTATCTTCCCGGCATGTCCCAATGTGCGAAGAGCTTGTTTGCCCGAAGAGTTTGTTTGCCAGGCAAGCCAGCCCCCTCCTGGAGCTGTCTTCGCAGCTCCAATGATGCAGGCCGGGGTGGGATCTCAAGACAATCCCCGAAGTTTGTAAAGTTGGTTCCTTTCACATGCACTTTGCTGTCTGCCCTTGAAACCCTGTTCATTTGCATTTGTTTGTGAATGACTTGACCCAGACCCTAAACCCAAACCCTAAACCCCAAACCCTAAACCGTTTCAGGCCCCGGCTACCACGACGGTTGGCGAGCCGGTCTACCTCCCACCCATCACGGCTCCGGCTGAGGCATGTCTTGGGTCGCCAAGCTCGTGCCGCCTGAGAATGAATACATAATCCATCAAGCGTGAAATATAAACATGGTAGATAGTACATAAAATACATATCATGTATTATATATATATATATAAAATTGTACATATATATATATATATATATGCATTATGTAAAATCATATATACACACAGAACAATGAGCTGGACAGGCCGCTCCGCAGACCATCAGCACCATTCCGCCCCAGGGCGCTATCTTCGCAGCCCCTGCTGCTCAGGTCTGGAAGTTCGGCTAAGCATAGGCACATGCGCTGACAGTTCTCCCCTCATGAAGAAAAAGAAATACAGTCACACAGAAACTGAACATGCCTGCAAATGTGACAGTCAAAAGTTGGTTGAAGAAAAGCTTGTTTACAGTTCATGCACGATCAAGGTAGTTACGTGAATAGCACGAGCACATTGACATGTATCAACAGAAATTTCATCAACCCTTGATCCAGTGATGAAGCAGCGGAGGCCAGTAGGTACATAGCGGAGCATGCAAACATATGTTTTCACATGCACATTGGTAACACACGAACACGCTTGCGTTTTTTTCAGAGACGATGTGTATCAGTGTTTGTGTGTGTTTTGCCGAGAATAGTTGAATAGTCAATATAAAATATGATATACAGTGAAATCCCTGTATAAGAACCCCATGCCGCGAGAGCAGCCTACCCTGAGGTTCTTACTTTCCATTACCTCTGGTTTTGCCGGCTGAGTAGTTTCGGTGGGCTAAGGTTCTTCACCACGTTCCTGTCTAGACGCAGCGTGTACCTTGAGCCAAAATGGTCACAGTATCTGCTCTTACCTACCCTGCCCCCCCAAAAAAACGAGTTAGTGTTTGACATTAATTCCAAAATGGAAAATGCCGGGTTGTGCTGGGCAGGGGCAGAGCAGGCAGGAGTGGGGTTGGGGCCAGGGTGCGCAACGGCAACAACGAATTAGTGTCAGACACTGATTCGTTTTTGCCCCTGGCAGCGGCAGGCAGGGGTCGGGGTGGGTTGGGGGCAGGGGAATTGGTGTCAGACACTAATTCTTTTTTGCCACTGCTCATCCTCATATATATGCATTGGCCAACAAGGCCAAAATGAGAACCCTATCCCCCTAACTAGTTATCCTAAGGTTATTTTATTAATTTTGAAGTAACCTGAATTTTGTGTGAATCCCGCCGGGGGTAGGGGCTAAGTTTCTTAAGCAGTGGGTTCTCATACAGGACGTTCACTGTAATGTCATGGATCGCACGAAGGTCGCGCAGATGTTCCCTCCGCCAATGCTGCCAGTCGTTTCGCAGCGTCGCGGACCAGGCAGGGGGAAACCATGGAGGTTTAGGGTTTGGAGTGGGCTTATACCCAGCTGATCAACAGAGTCTGGGTTCAAAAAAGAGTGGGCTTATAGGGCAGAGTCGGGGTTCAAGAAAAGGGTGGGCTTAATGCAGGGGCTGTGTGTAGGAGGAGCGAGATTTGTATTGGTCACCATCAAGAAAGTGTAGCCTGAACATCAGCACGACAACAGTGGCGGTTGTATGTGTGTATATATGTATATATACAAGTATGTATATAAGTGCGCAACCAAGTGCACATATACAGATGTGTGGAGCGTGTGAAGTGGTGCTACATACATGCATACATACGTATACATACATACGTACACACTCACGTACTTACACGCACACACACACACACACGCACTCTCTCTCTCTCTCTGTATATATATATATATACAAATATGTATATATGCATATTTATAGTTTGTTTATGGACTTATATATATATATATATGTATACACATACTTGCATCGATACTACAGTACTACCTACACCCAGCCCCATCTACATATACGCATACATACATATACATAAGTTCGCACATGCATACATGCACACACATATACCGACGTGCACGCATGCACGCACGCGGATGCAGATATGTATACTGTATACACAGACATATACACATACATACACACATGCATATATCATACATACATACATACATACATACATACATGCATACATACATACTTGATTGTTAAGGTTTATGACCATGTGTATATATAAACGCACACTTGTTTGTGTATTTACTCATTTACTTGTTTATTGGTCCATTCGTTTGCTTATGTTTAATTCCGATGGTACAACCTGCATGCACAGGAGACACTACCAAGGATGCTGCAGACCCGGCAAGCCTCGGCCTAAGAAGGCAGCACTCCAGAACAGCAGGCATCTGCGATAGCCATGCAGAGCTTCAGGCATTTTGGCTTTAAGATGCGCTTTCTGGTTTCGGGCATTGCCGAGACAGAAGATGCTATGGCTAGGGGGGGCCGATGCCCGATGTGAACAATTGAGCTCGGGGAAGGGTTTTGTGAGGGTGTGCGGCTTCAAAATCTCGAGGTCCGTCTCTTGATCTGCAGCGTTGGGATCATGTGCAGAGCTGTGGAACCCTGCATGAGGCCACGTGGTCGAAGCAGAGCCCCAACCTTCGCCTTGCAACCTGCATTTTTACACACACATACATCTACATATTCATGTGCGATTAGTAAGTTTGCATGTTTTGTGTAGGTGTATTTGTATATTAAAGGATTGCGTATGTATATATGTGAGAGAACTGTAGACATTGGCAGCCCCCGACATAGACGATACAGGTAAAAGAGCTACAACTCACAAAAGTTTTGACAACATTCTAGTGTTGTCGAAATTTCCGCTGAAAGCAGTTATATGTTCTTGGATACAGTAGGACTTACAGTATTACAACATTCAGAAGTAGTAGGTTACTTGATTGCTATTTACATTAGTTATAGTGTTTTCGTGTCGACAGGCTTGATTGTAATGAATGTCTCTCTCTCGCTCTCTAGATGGACAGATAGATAGATCGATAGATAGATAGATAAATAGATAGACATATCGATAGAGATATAGATAGATATAGATATAGATACATAGATATAGATTGATAGAGATATAGATAGATAGATAGATAGATAGATAGATAGACAGACAGATAGATAGATAGATAGATAGACAGGTAGACAGGTAGACAGACAGATAGATAGGTAGGTAGATAGTTAGGTAGTTAGATAGATAGATAGATAGACAGATAGATAGATGAGTACATATATGTACATATACATGAGTATGTATATATATATACAAACACATCGTGTTTGGTTGTTGTTTTTGCTGTTGTATCACACTTGTTTAACATGGTTGTACATACTCCTGTAGGTATGTGCATACCTACAAATACTCATAAATTTCATGAATACTCATCGCCTCTCAGACCGGGTCTTCTTCAGCAACGTGCCTTACGAGATTAGTGAGGAGCAGCTTATCGAGCTGCTTGGGCCTTGGCATTTGGCCTTTTCAACCAGTCTGGTTCATGTTTTTAGAACTCCTATGTTTTCGAGGTTCCCATGGCGCGCACTGTGGGTGTTTGGCTTCTGGAAGTTTAGGCTTGCGTCCAGTGACCCTGGGTGTTTTGATGTGTTTTGCGACTTTCGGAGTCCAGGGGGGAAGGGGCGCGGGTGTCATAGCGGCATTTTGGCCTCTTGCCATGTCACAAGGGGTAGGGAGTCAAGAATTGCCAAGTCTAAGTCCAGCGAGCAAATGCATGGAGTGAACAGACGACTTCTCGACTATCTGTGCTTGCAATGCGTGCATGTGGCGCCACCACCATGGCCCGAACTTGTGGAACTAAAGCAACCACAAGCTCAGTAAAAAAAGTAATGTTTTCCAGTTTAAGGCCACGTCTGGGCTTCGAAAATGACGGCCCTGCCAATATATCCTCCATCCGAAACCCCCGCCCAGTGTAAATACCGATTCATTTACTGCAGCAACTCACACCCCAAAGCCCGCGATGTTTCCAAAACCCACGAAAAAAACGTGTGTTTCCTCCAGTTTGAAGCACCAAGAGAATCCTGAAGCGCTGAACCCTCGGGGTCACCAACAGCGATGCGAGCAAGTTTAGGGATGACGCTCTTCGACAGTAGGAGCTCACATTTCCCAACCCAAAACATGCCCAGGTTTCAGCAAGTCGGCACCGTACTGGAGCTCAACCTGTTCCGCAACGAGATGGGTCGATCGAGAGGTATGGGCCACGGCCTCAGCTTCCAGCATGGCTATCAGCTTTACCACGATGGATCAACAATCCCGACTGCTTCGGGAGATCGCATATATCGCATCGCCCGGCGTTGCGGCGCCATGTTTATTGCACCATGAACATTCTCTACAGGTGTTTTTCACATCTCGGCAGTACAGATCCGGGTTCATAATCGCTTTGGTCCTCCGGGTTCCTACGCACAGGGCTCAAGTTCGAACAGCGAACAGTCTGAGCAGCTCGCGCGCTTGCTGTGCATGCCGCGTGCGGATGGAAGCGTAACCCCGCGATGGTTGGGGACGATACCAAGTCTGGGTAGCCTCCTTGGGATCGTGGAGCAGGAGGAGATCCCCACCGAGAGCGCGGAGAAGGATGCGCAGACTGCGCGATTTGCTGTGGGTGAGTACGTCGAGTACCACAGTGCATCTGCAGGATCTTGGATTCCTGCAAAGATTGTGGTGGTTCGCGAAGACGGCTTGTATGATCTTGACTGCAAACAGGAGGTGCCACCGACAAAAGTTCGGCCGGCAACTTTTACAAAGCCAGATTTCGAGGTTGGTGCAAGCGTTGAGTACTTGAGCGACACGCAGGGTGTATGGATACCTGCCAAGGTGAAGATGTATAATGCCATGGCCGGTACGTACGACCTCGATTGCAAGCAACATGTGCCTCCACGTAGGATCCGGCTCCCAGCCGTCAGCACTCGCCCACCGAGCCCGGAGGAGAAGCAGGAGGAAGCAAGCGATTCGAAAGATGGCATCGGAATGGGCGGAGAAGCGGAAGAGGAGCTTGGGCCCCGGGTATCCCACGTCAGCACATGTCCCGTCGAGCACTTACTGCCTCAACAGGATGGACCCATCCAGCTTATCAAAGTCTCCCGTCATGGAACTTCTTGGCACTTCGAGTTGTGCCCGGAAGCGGTGAAGGTGCTCGAGGCCTGTGGTCAGGAGCAGCTCGCCGTGTGTACAGTCTGCGGTCCTTACCGCACAGGAAAGAGCTATTTGCTGAACCTTCTCCTCGGACGCGGCCGACAGGGCACTAGCCAGTTCCGTGTCGGCTCCACGACACGAGCCTGTACAGACGGCTTGTGGATGTGGGGTTTTGGGCGCGTGCGAGGGGGCAATTCTCCAAGCCTTCTGTTCTTAGACTGCGAGGGCTTTGGAAGCACAGAATCCGACAAGACACGAGATGCCAAGCTCATGTCTCTTTGCATGCAATTATCTTCTGTATTCTTGCTCAACACCAAGGGTGTCCTGAGCGAGAGTCTATTTGGTGCGCTGTCCCTCGTGTGCAACATGGCGGAGCATTTCGAGGAGCAAGAAACGAGCAAGCCGGCACTCCTGTGGGTGTTGCGCGACTTCCTTCTCGAGCTGATGGATGACGGCAAGCGGCTGACACCGGATGAGTACTTGGAGTCGACCCTGCACAAGAAGCCACCCGAGGGGGTGGACCCCCAGCGATCACAAGCTGCCCGCGAGGTGCGAGAGAATCTGTTGAGGTTCTTTCCGCATCGTCAGTGTGCCACACTTTGTCAGCCGGCCATCGACGAGCAGCAGCTCCGAGAGTTGCCAGAGGTGCCCTTTGAAAAGCTGCGAAAGGAGTTTAGGAAGGCTTTTCAAGAGCTTCAGACACGACTTTTCAGCTTGACAGACTCTCCGAAGACTATTGGAGGCCAACCTCTCTGCGTGTCGCAGTGGACGGAGATGTTGCGCAAGCTAGTGCGCTGCTTGAATGAGGGCCAATCCATGCGAGTTGACGATTCCTGGGCACAGGTGGAGCACACTAGCTGTGGCGATCTTGTGTCTGAGTTGCGCGAACGAGCTTCTAGCGAGCTTCAGAAGGTACGGCAGGGCGGCCCATTCCCCATCCCTGGGGGTCGGCCATTGCCCGTCTCAGACACAGTGCTGGTGTCTAGTCTCAAGGAATGCCGAAGGGCCATCCGCGAGGAGTTCCGTAGCCGTGCGGTGGGTGGGGAGTTGGTCAAGGCTTCCTACTGGAAGGAGCTGAAAGCTGCACTCCAAGAGGACGAGCAATTTCTTCGGCATCTCAATGCCGAGTTGGCAGAGGCATCCTTGCGCCAAGCAGGAGCGGACTGGACCGCTTGGCTTTCTCAAGACGAGGCCTCGGCAGCAGATCCCCAGCCAGAGTCTTTGCTGAAGGCCTTTGGTTCGGAGCTTCCGGCACAGCCGGTGGCGCGTGCTGCCTGGGATGCAGTCAGTTCTGCACGTATGGCCAGGTTGAAAGCCGACGGTATGCTCGAAGCTTCCAAGGCACAGCTCAAGCTTGTCACCGAAGAGTTGGAAAGCAAGGCAATGCTGGCCGCTGCTGCATCCAAGCAGGCGATGCTGGCTGCTGAAAAATCGAAGCTAGCCGAAGGAGAGCAGCTGGAGAAGAATCGCGCAATGGGCCAACTCCAAAGCCAGGTGGAGGCTCTTCAACAGCAGGTCCGAGAATTCATTGAGCGTGAAAGAACTCTCAAAGGGGACTTTATCGAGCGTGAGAGGGCTCTCAAGGAGCAGGTTCTACAGGCAGAGCAGTCCCTGCGGAACGAGCAGCATGAGAGGAGTGAGGTCGGCCGTGAATCAGAGCAACGAATTCAAGAGCTGCAATCACAAGTAGCTGAACTTCGATCCGAAGTTCTACAGTTGCAGGAGTGGAGGCATGAGACTTCCGCATCTCCAAGGGATACTACCCGGCCGAAATGCACCTGTAGCATCATGTAAGTTTGCTTGACAGAGCAAGGCCGCGATGAGAAAACTGCCGCCGCAAGCTCCTGGAGACGTATCGCAGTGTCGACTCGCCTCTTGCTTTCAGATGCGGGCATGATTCAATCATAGGAAATGCTTGCGTTTTCGACTCAAGTTTCAGTTTATCGTTCACATCGCCACCCCCCCACAGCGCAAGCTCATCTCGATGGCGTTCACACCTATGCCAGGAATCAACGAGGATGCCGCGACAACGTTTCTTCCGGTGCCTCCGAACAAGCCGAAGCGCCTTTCTCCAAGAAGCCTGATGGTTCTTCGTAGCCGGCGGCTCGCACCAAGTCCAGAAACTCAACAGAGCGCTGGGCTGGATTTCTTCGATGAGCTCCACAGCTCGCAGGAGAAATGCGCGCCTCTACCCAGCCTCCTTCAGATGCAAACTTTCCAGAAGCAGAAGGCTACAGTGCGAGAGAGGTTGCATGGCTTCGCCCTGTGTTGGGGTCGGCAGGAAGAGCGAGAGGTGAAGCTGCGAGAGATGCTTCCGCAATTGCACGACATCTTCGAGGATTGCAAGCAGGATACTGCGGACGATGCCAAGGAGGCACCCGAGTCCTCCGGGCCGTGGCAGTATCATGTCAAGGAGGCTGGCACAGACAGGCTTGCTCACATCGTGGAAGATGTGATGGCGAAGAGTGATTTGGTGATTTCGGACATCGCATGATTCTGAAATTAAGTGAGAAGGAGTTTCCGCACCTGGGATGACGCAAAGCGAGTTCGAAGAAGCGTGCTCACGAGTTCCTCCCGTTTTTGTAGCGTTCCTTGCCTGGCAGTCAGAGTACAACCGCTGGAGTAATCAGTTACGTTACTTAGATAGTTGAAGTGAAGGTGCATTCCATACCGCACACAGCATTACATGATCCATTGCTGTTCTTAGCCACTGGCGGCTGTGGGTGCCATGGCTCCAGGTGGTTCTTACACAAGTCTGAAGGAGACAGAGGTCATTCCGGTTTCCCCTCTGTGGTACTTCTGGCAAGCGGCAAGTTTCACAGCTTCACTTGTGCTCGACTTAGTCTTAGCTTCAGCTCCACTTCCCGGGTAAGCTGTCCCACAGCGCATGGTGTGTCGGTTATATATTGGCACGAACGAGCAAAGCATAGAAGCGAAGCTGCCGACGTACAAGTTCGAGGATGTTTCCGATGAGCTGCTAGCTCGGCGATATCCGCATGACTGAAAGCTGTCGCTCTGTCAGAAGTGTAATCTGCACAGCTGCACGACTGGATGGGGTTGGTCGGCTGCCGAGGCAAGCCTACGACCCGCACAGTGCGTGTCAGCCCCCTCAACAAATAGATTGGCAATTTGCAGGTTCCCAGGCGGCATTGCTTGACAGCGTTGTTCGCCGTGCTCCGTCAACTTTAACACTCTCGAGTACAGGTCTTAAGCAGGCAGAACAGTGGCACGATGTGATTGCCGTGATAAGACTGGCGAGTAATTACTGTGGTTCGTCACCGGTTATGTAGTAATGTAGAAGGGCATGTAGGGAAGCAACAATTTCCAGCATTCGGTCTCTGTAAAGAAGCATGCCGGAGTGGTTGTAGGCGATCGGCAGCTGCTGCGCAGTTAAAGTTGGAGGAGTCCGGAACCGATGATGCGCAAGATCCTCTTGCAAATTCTTTACTACATTACTACATAAGGTCGGACTGTTTTGCACTCGATGGGGCTCCTTTTCGGGAAGGGCGGTGTCTCTCCAGTGCTCTCTCTCCTACGCAGATGCGGCACCATTGTTGTGCAGCTTCGAGACACCGTCTGTGCTTGGTGCCGTCCAGTGCCTCTGGTCGTTAGAAACTTGATCGTTATAGTAAGATAAAGTATTTATCGTTTTGTCACATGACGTGGTTCACCAATAAGCGGCCGAAGAGGAGCCCGAGCTGCTTTCGTCACGAGAGCAAGCAGCCGTCGAGTCTTCCCGGTAGATGATGGTTTTGCGGAGTTGCAACCAGCTGGGACTTGCTGTCCTAGTCTTTCCGGCCCAGTCGGCGACAGTGTGCCTATGACATGCAGGTCGAGCGGGCTGTTGAAAATACTTTCGGACTCGCTGTCTGGAGTCACACGCGCACTGCTATGAGTGATTGTATCCGTTGTATCTTTATATCAGGTCCGTTTGTGCTTTAGCTTTAGGCCCTTAGACAAGCAGCGACAGCCTCACTCTCAAGTCCGAAGGCCACTGTGTCTTTGCCCACCCCGGGTCTGCTGAGCGGGCCATCGGCGAGCTGCGCGACGTAAACGCTGGGGCCCCAGGCTTGTGGACGAATCAAAACACACCTTCCATACTTGTTGGGGTTCCCTTCGGCATTTTTTGCAGCATGATGCATGCACCAAGTTGCGATGGTCTTCGTTATCACTAACAGCGGTAGCAGTAGCAGCAGCAGTAGCAACGACAGTAGCAGCCGTAGGTAGGAGTAGGAGTAGGAGTAAGATGGTGATGAGGAGGAGGACGAGGAGGAGGAGGAGCAGCAGGAGCCATCCTTGACAGTTAGAAGCTAACAACAATTGGACGATCATCGCCATGATCCTCTGCTGACATGGATATGATCAATTTTCATAATCCGGGTCATACCCCTTCTCACCGTCGCCATCACCATCGCCATCAGCCACTATAGCAATGAACGGCAGCAGCATACAATAATTTGACAAAGGTTTTTCAGCGAATCCACTACAGTAAAGAACTATACGATAGTGTCAAGTTCAACGCGACTATAAAAGGGACATTCGTTCTAGTTGGATGTGTTAGCCAGATGGAGTGTCACGACAAGTTTGGAGCTTGGTTCGTGGCTCTATGCTCAACAGCAGATGCTCAGGGTGGGCCCAGGGTAAAGCTTCTGGGCTAGACATTGGGTTCAAGGCAGGGGTCTTATGGGTTGAGATTGAATATATAGAACGGGTGTTGACAGGTGTTTTCATTACGTTGTGTATGAAAATTGATAAGGGCATGAGATGTGCCTTGACAGGGTTAGAACTACAGGAGGCCCTACCATGAGAGTAAGGTCTTGAGCTTAATTGTCTTTAAATATGTCCACACGCAAAAGTATAGTATAGCACTACAGTTATACAACTATATGGGGACGTTGCTTTCTCGGGATTATAAGGGGGCTCATCATTTGACCTCTGCGTTAAAGCTCTTTGTGGAGGGATCTTGGCGGATCTCGGATGCTAACGTAGAAGCATCAACGATTAGAATAGGGTTTTGGGGCCCAATATACTATACTTATGATAAGGAACCCATTGTCTAGCAAAGGTTTCTGTAGCACGCATTTTGCACTTTCCGTGGCCGGTTGCATGTTCACGTATTTAGGGCTAGTCTGCCCTGGGTTGGTTTTGCTTGGCGTCATAGAGTAGGCAATCGATCAAAGTGTCGTCTGAGCCGGATCAGCCCGACCAGACCTTTAATTAGTACAGGTCGACTTCCTGGCCTTGTTCGGTTGAACTGATCCCGGACCTGTAGTGTAGCCTTGTTGTGAGTATGCGCACCGATGAACCCCGTCTATACTATAAACCCCAAACCCAAAACCCTATACCCTAAGCTACGGTCTCCGACCTGCGGAGGTCGGTGGCCGGCCCATATGGGTGGCGGAAGACAGCCGGCCAGCGAGGTCTCCGTATGTGCACACACATGTATATGTAGTACATGTCTCGGTATATGTAGTTACATATATATATATATATATTGTATTATATTTATATATACATACCTACATACCTACATACCTACATACATACATACATACATACATACATACATACATAATATAGTGTTATGTGTGTGTATATATATATATATATGTATAGATAGATTACCGGTATGCACCTGCACACAGTTACATCTCTACGCATATGTATATGTATATATATATATATATATTATCTGGGGTGGTGGTGGCGTGTCAACGTATCTGTTTTCCGGCTTAAATTTGGCCAAATTGCCACGCAGCTCGCCCTGCAGCACAAGCATTGAAGTCTAGTAGTGTGCGCATGTTAGATCAGGTTTTGTTTGGCGGTGCTTCTTCCACAAACCTTGCACAGGCATGGATGTGATCCCGCAGTGTTTCGGTAGCCCTGCGTGAGCAAGTAGCTCGTACATCGGGACAAGCCATGAACATCGCGCGGAGCTCACCGCAGCTTCCTGCCCGTGCAGAATCTGAGGAACCTCCCGCTGAGGAGCTGCCACTGCCAGAAGGTTTCACGCCGCTGGTGGGAATAAAGTTTTGCCCGCCAGGTGGTATATACTTGCTGCTTTTCTTCTGGTTCTTGGACAATGCCACAGACTTGTTCCAGGTTGTAACGTTCGTACGCCACGGGGACAGCGGATTTGCGATTTTTGTCGCATTTTTTGTGACAGCCAGCGTTTTTGTTGTTGCCTTCGTGATCGTGATGTCGGAAAGCGATTCCATACACAACAGAGGCGGACCGATCCTTTGCAAGGTTTTGCTTTCGCCTTTTAATGCGGCCGTGGCCAGCATAGAGTCCGGGAAGGCCAGCATGACGTGGGGATGGATTATGCGGGCGGAGCAGCAGATTGAAGCGCCAGGCACCGGTCTGGTGGCTCCATACGGCATGGTTTTGGTTAGCAAGCTGAGTCTGTTTCAAGCACTGGCGGCTTCTTACGGCTTGTACAGCTCTTGCAAGGCCATCGCGGCTGGACGCATGGAGAATTTGTCAGCAGAGAGCCCCGTTGAGTTCAATGCTGTGCGCCCGAAGCTCTTTGCTGCTATCCAATTGTGGCTCTTGTTGGCAAGCCTCGGAGAGCTAGCCCTGTTTGCTGTTGTCGGCCGCGTACTACATCCTTCCGTCCCTATAGCAATGTATCTTTTTGCTGCCGCCATCAACATACACGCCGAAGAAGTTAAGAAATCAGACGTCTGCTGCCAGTCTGTGCCTGCAACTCAATACATTCAGCTCTTTGGTTTCTATACAGCAATTAACGGTAACTCTTTAGCTGTAACTGTTTCGTAGCAGTAGATCAAGTGGGCGTCAGGTGTTTATGGTGGCCGAAAGCATGTTCGGACTGCATAATAACCCGACTGGCCTGAAAGCGGTGAGCAAGGACGTGAGGACTGGCCCAGGACGCTTACTTTCTCATACTTATAGATGCTAGATAGAAATAGCTAGCAGTAGTAGAAGTCGTGGTTGTGGTCGTAGTCGCAGTAGCAGTAGCAGCAGCAGCAGCAGCAGCAGGAGTATAGTAGTAGTAGTAGTAGTAGTAGTAGTAGTAGTAGTAGTAGCAGTAGTAGTAGAAGATTAAAAAGTGGGAGTAGGAGTAGGAGTAGGAGGAGGAGGAGGAGGAGCAGGAGTAGGAATAGCAGCAGCAGCGATAGTAGTAGAAGTCCTCGTACAACTACAACTACAACAACTTTCATTTTAATCCCTATCAGAACTAGTATGAGTCATAGTATTGTTCCTCTTATGCTGCTTCACTATACCACCATAGACCACCACCGCTACCTCTACCGCTTCCATTGCTGCAGGATGGCCTGCGGCTTCATTCTTACTGGTGCGGTTGGTGGTCTTGGTGTGCCTTTGCTTATTTCCCGACTTGCCAAATGGCATGTTGCCCATTGCCTCCTTGGGGCGTCCCATGGGCAGTCCAGTTCTGGAGGAAGAATTCTTGTTGCCACTGCGCGTCGCCTGCAATGTTGCTTGGAATTGCAGTGCTTCAGTCCTTGCGCACCAGTTTGAGAATTGCACTTTCGATGGTGTGGCCGAGAAGAGCGCTGGGTCAACTGCCTTCAATGCTTTTGTTGTAGCTGCTGCCGTGGTTTGCGTACCATTGCAAGTCCTGATCACGCTGGGCCAGCTATGCCTCAACAGCCACTATCGATTGGGCACAAGCAATCAAGAGCTGTACGACGAGGTGCAGCGCAAGAAAGCTGAGATTGAAGCCTGGAGTGAGAGGCATTTGGATATTCTGTACCCTGAAAGAGTAAGGCAACGCTTGATGCAGCGTGACGGCTTTTACCTCGGTTTCGAGTGATTCAGAACGTATTGATGCCGCTGCGAAGAGCCTGAGTCATACTGTAGCAGTCGCACTGAGCACCTCATGGCAGCAATTAGCGGTAAGTAGTAGCGAGCGCGAGCAGCGCTTTGTCTTACATTGTCCCGCCATGTCTCACATTAGCGGTTGTGCGCATGTCTCTCTAAGCTGAGCATGAGTTGATTGTTCCACAAAAAGTTCCAAAAGTGTCATGACGAACTTGGAATGTCTGCCAAGGGGTTCTTAGCAGCAGCAGTCGGGGAAATGGAAGTAATTGCAATAAGAATAGCCAATACTAGTAGCAGTAGTAGAAGTAGCAAGAGCAGAAGCAAGTGGTACATGTAGTAGTAGTAGCAGTAGCAGTAGCAGTAGCAGCAGCTGTAGTAGTAGTAGTAGCAGCAGCACTAGCAGCAGCACTAGCCGTAGCAGTAGCAGTAGCAG